GCTGTCGGTCCGCTGCGGCCCCTCGCCGGACCCTCCCCGTCTGTACCCCAGGCCCGTCCTGGCCACACTCCCATCCCCTGCCCGCGGGGACAAGACACTCGAGGGGCTGTACTGCCATCCACAGGGAGCTCGGCGGGCTGCATAAAGCAGAAGCCTGTTCTTTGTCACCTTTGTGCGGATTTTTCACTGTCCTAGCGATAGAGCACTGGCACAGGTTGCCCACGGAATTTTTTGAGTCTCTCCCTCTCTCCAGTCGCTTCCCCATAGGGGTAAGAGACACAGTGAGGAAACCCCCCACACACTCCTTTTGCCTTGCCCCACCCTCTTTCCCACAGTGCACAGCTCCGGCTACCTCACCAGCATTGCAGACTTGCAAGCCCCAGGATCATCGCTCCCATGTCTTGTCGACTTTTCTTCTCTTGTTTCTGCTGAGCTGTTTTGAAATTTGGCAGTATGACGAGGTATGACTGCTGTGCCTTCTAAGTTGAGAAAACAGCACAGGTGGGCAGTGGCTGATGCTGGTAGGGAAGTGCCTGGGCTGCAGGGACATGCTCAGAGCCTCAGGAACTGAGTGTTCTTGTAATCCTTTCCAGGATGGGAAGTAAACACTTGGACACAGGAGTCCATATAGCTGGGACTGCTCTGCCTCTACCCCTGCCTTTTCCTGCACTTACCCTCCCTGTACCCTTGTCACCCCTACCTGCCCTGCCTTCATCCCAGTCTGTGCTCTAGCCAGAGCCCTATTACTCCCTTGGTACTGGACTGGCCTGTGCCAATCCGAGACCCACTAGCCGAGATGCGTTAAGAGAAAGTGTTTAGAATTGCTAGGTCAAGCTGAGTCCTGCCTGGGCTCTGGGCTGCCCAAACCAAATTGTCTTTGGCTTCGCAGGGCTACCAAGCAGTGAGCACAATCCCAAGAGAATGCCATCATCTTCCTCATCTTCATCTTTATCAATCATCATTATTTGATGATCTCAGGGAAGTAATAGGGGGTACACTTTTTAGTATACAGACCCTCTTGCTTCATGGGCTACAATGCTACTGGTCATTTAGGTATTTCTTAGTTTTACTGCTCTTTTTTAGCTTTTATCTTTATTAGTATTTTCTGAAGAAAATGACTTTTTGCTGAGTAAAGTGTGGGAGGATCTAATAATTTAACCATATGCAGCACAGAGGATACCCCACCCTGAGGCATTAGGTAAATGGTGCTTTCCTAGTCCTTGGCTGCTCTGCAGAGAGAAGAAAGATTACAGTCTGTGGTTCATCATGTAGCTGTGTCGAGGGCTAAGGCAGGCAAAGCAGAGACACAGATCCCCTGTCTCTGCTCACAGCAGGGCCAAGACCTCAGCCAGGATGCTCTCACCCCAGCAGAACTGAGTTCTGCAGTGTCACCTCCCAGGGGAGCCAAGAACAGGTAAGGATTGATGCTGCATGGCCAGGGGTGTTGATCGTTTCCATGAGGGGTATTGGTTTCTATGTGAGGAAGTGAGGAAAGCTGAGTGTCTCAGCTCATCTGCAAACAGACCCATCATCGTGTGTTTCTAATTCCCTGATCTGAATACCTCTGCAGAGATGGTTTTTTTGAGGAAAGTAGGGAAGAGTTAAGATGGGAAATGTTGGAAAGGTTGATATAAGGATCATTTCAGGAATGAGAGCACTGCTACTGTTGTAAAATGCAGAGCTGCACCCCTTCTGTGCAGTCCTTGGTGATGCAGATTTTGCACGAGCTGAAATGGAGCTTAGATTAACGTGGTGTTTCAGAGCACAGTAGTAAATTGCAGTGTCCTGGGAAGAGACAGTTGCTATTTCTAAGGGGGCTGTTTTATTTTCATAGACCACCACAGAGAACTTGCCATTATGGAACTTGTCATTCCCTGAAGCTCTAAATGCTTGCAGGATAAATTTCAAGTTCTCTCCTGAGAACTGGCGATACCAGAAGAAATTAAAAATTCTGACATTGTCCTCGATGGTGGACTGACAGGGCAGAACCACTTGCTGCCCATCTCTGGCTGACACCTTGGAGAAGAATTGCTTCTGGGGGTCACCTCCAACAAGACCTGTAACGTGGGAAAAAATGTGTCTGTGGAGCAGCTTGCTTTCTTCTCTCTGTGTATAAGGCTGTCTTTGCTCCAAATCTTTCTGTCTTTCTAAAGTTAAGTTCAGATATCTGCTTCCCTCACCCCTCTGCATTTCTCCCTTGTCTCATAACCTCATCAGCTGAGACCTCCGCATAGGCTACTAAAAACTGTGGGAGACAATAGAAAGTGCATGAATACACCCACCTGACTGGATTAGCAGAACATATGCTGGCACAGCCATGGTGAAGATCATTTTTCCCAGCTCCAGAATCTCTGTCCCTCAGGAAACTCTCAGCACAGTACTGAACAAGGCACTGTTGGCAGCACAATGATACAGCTGTGTCCTGCAGTGTGCCAGTATGTGTGACACAGTCACACCTCTAGAGTGGGGAGAGCAAAAATGAGGCCAATCCACTTTTTACCTTTGCTTGTCTTAGCAGGAGGAAGTGGATAGTCTCTGTGGCTTCTTGCATTTTTTTCCATGGGTTTCCCTCTCCCTTCAAAGATTTCCACTGCAAGGGAAGATCTCTCCCTTGTTGTAGAGCGTATCTGCTTTTTGTGTGCTCTTTGTTGGTGGAAGGGCTTTTGAAAGCACAATGGCTCCTCATAACATTCAGGGCTCTGAGAAACATAGGTGTGGTGTTCCTTTCAAAAGGTTTCAGGTTTCTCTGAGTTCAGCCTCTGTTATTTTGGAAGCAGCTGTTATTTCTCCATGCATGAAGACTCAGTGATGGGGACAAAGCTGGAAAGGAGTAAAGAAAGGCATTTTAATGGGTGAACATATACATTCCTAGAAGAGGGGGATGGAGTCCTCATTGTGATGGGTTGGCTCAGTCCTGGCTGGAGTAGGGCAGACTGGTGGGATGGTGGAGTGGTGGGATCTGCAGCCTCACCCCAAGTGCAGTTCTACATCTGTGCCAGGCATAAAGGCAGGGCTGTTGGCGACAGTGGAAAGGATGTGGGAATGGGTCAGGGACAGGGACAAGGGTGGGAGGCAAAATCTTGGTGTTTGGAACTGGTGAGGAGAGAGGTGCCAAGGAGCAGCCCTGGCACTGGGAACAACTGCTCCTTGGCAGCACCTTTCTCCCTCTCCAATCTCCTGGCAATGTCACAGACTTTGCTGTGTTTCTCATTTAAGTGGGTACTCTGCAAACAACGGGGAGGGGACCCTTCACTGCAGTGCGTTAAATTTGGCTGCAATACACTCTGTCAACCAAATCCACAAGGGGAGGGTTGGCCCTGTAAATCACAGACCCTCAGGTGAAATCTGCCCAGGTGGTGAACACCCCCTGGACAAAGCAGCCAACACTTCTGGAGGACTTAGCAGTATCCAGGAGGTACTTCAGCTCACTGTTTCTGGGTGACTAGTGCCAGAAGAAGGAAATTCAGTGCAAGGAGGGGTTGGTGCAGATGACTGTGACAGCCTGGCCAACAGGTGTGAACATCTTGAGACCCACAATGGGAAGGAGCTGGTTTGGTGTAGCACCTGTGGGAGGGTAACAAGACACCCACACTTCCCACTTTGAACACAAAGGGTGAATTTCTCCACCTAGGGAGGACCAATATATGCTGAGGACTGCCCAGCTGGAAAGCAGCACTACAGAAAATTAGTTGGGTTATGCTGCTGGACACCAGGTGGACAATGAAGCAATTATGTGTCCTTGCCTCAAGGATGTGTCCTTGCCAACAGGATTCCATGGGCTCCACGTAATCATTGGCTCTTCCTTCCAAACAATCTGCCTCCTGCATCTAATCAAACACCACTTCACATCAAGTTACCACTTCGGATTCGAAGCAGCAGCCTGATATTGGCACTTTGTAGATGTTATCTGATTATTCCTCTACATAACCATTTACTGATGAGGATCCTGCTCTTCTAGTATATTAAATACAATTGACTTCCAATCTCTAAAATGTGGTACAACCCCAGAGAAGAGCAATACATAATCGCATTCATACTTCTATCCCTTGCCCTAAGCACTATCCTAACTGCATTAAACTTCTGACTTGTCCAAATCACTCCAGACTCAGAAAAATTATCCCCATACGAATGTGGATTTGACCCACTAGGATCCGCCTGCCTCCCATTCTCAATTTGATTCTTCCTCAGTAGCAATCCTATTCCTACTGTTCAACCTAGAACTCGCACTCCTACTTCCACTCCCTTGAGCTACACAGCTTCAATCCACCACCACCACTCTGGCCTGAGCCTCTATTATCATCCTCCACTCTAGGACTAATCTACAAATGATCCCAAGGAAGCCTAGAATGAGCAGAATAAATAGAAAGTTAGTCTAACCAAGGCAATTGATTTCAACTCAGTAGACTATAGCCTGCCCCTATGAATTTCTTTATGTCACTCACACACCTTAGCTTCTACTCAGCGTTTACCCTAAGTGGCTTAGGGCTAGCCTTCCACTGAACCCACCTAATCTCCACCCTACTATGTTTAGAGAGCATAATATTATCCATATACATTACCCTGTCAATTTGACCCACCGAAAACCAAGCAACCTCCTCCACCCTAATACCAATTCTCATCCTCGCATTCTCAGCCTGTGAAGGTGGCACAGGCCTAGCAATACACATGAAGCCTCCACATGAACCCATGGCTCAGACCATCTACACAACCTAAACATATTACAATGTTAAAAATCATCCTTCCAAAAATCATAGTCCTACCAACAGCCCTCCTATCCTCCTCAAAATTCTTAAGAGTTAACACAACACACAGTCTCATAATCACTACCTTCAGCCTCCAATGACTACTCCCTGCATACTACCCCTAGAAAAACCTAACCCAATGAACTGGCATTGACCACACTTCCTCCCTGTATTTCCTGTGCCTGAAATGCTTCTTCTGGGTTTCTCCCTCCTCCAACTGCAAGACATGTGGCTCCCTCAGCCAATGGCATTTGGAGCATCTGTACAACGTGAGGCCTTGGGGGCTCTGGGGCTCCTGGTTGAGGGAAGAGTTTGTTTCCAATCATCTTACAGTGGAGTCCTTACCTGCCCAGTTAGAATGCTGTTCTGCATATCCACTGCTGGGCCATTTAGGATGTTAGGGGTTTATTCTTCAGTGAGGTTTCACACCTCAGCTCTCTGGGGATGTTGCTATTTCTTCTTGAAACTAAAGTATTCGCTGTTTCTCTCATATTTCCCCTGTCATTATTCATCTGCCTGGGAAAAATGCCCCTTCTCCAAGTCATTAGAACAGCAGGTGAACCCTGCTGTACACCAGCACAGGAGTTCTGTGTTCTGCACTGGTGGGATAATCTATGGTCCAAGAGAGAAACCTGGCTTCAGTGTGGCTGTTGGATGCCACAAATCCAGAGGTAGCAAGGACAACTTATTCCATACTGAAGGTGGTGAGGGTTCAGTAGGGAACAGGATGAGGTAACAACTTTTTTTTTTTTTCCAATTACAATTTTTAAAAAATATTTTTCCCCCCCTTATCTCAACCCATGAGCATTTCTTTGCATTTTGTCTCCCCTGTTCAGCTGAGGGAGACAACTGATAGTGAAGCCAGATGAGCACCTGGCATCCAGCCAAGGTAAACCCACAACAGGTGCCCATACCATGCTTTTGCTGTGGCTCCTTTATTTTACCTCCAGAGGTTCTGAATCTTTCAGACAACCTTGTGGTCTCAACACTGAACCTCAGTGCTTGAAGGCGCCTCTGATCTCAACAACCCCTTCTCATGTCAGTGTGAAGCTTAAACTCCTGACTCCTTTAAATGACCTTCTAACACTAGCAGGAACCTCATGAAACCTTCCTCAGAGTGTAACTAGAGGATGCAGTTTTAAGTGTCATATGAGAGCTTTAACAAATAACAAAATGTGAAACCTCTTCTAATTGTGCTTTCTGAAGTCACGTTTTGCAGGAGCTCCTTGGCACTGGCGTCCATCCGTGCGCTTAGAGAGCAGAGGAAAGGCCCTGCTGAGGGATCCCTTGGCTGTCCTGGTGGGGGCCGCTGAATCCCGAGCAGAGGCCCTGGGTGCTCCATGCTCGGTGCCTGGGGCAGGAGCGAGGGCTGCCCGGCTGCCCCCGGGCAGGAGGATCTCTGCTGCCCCCTGGCGGGCCCGCCCGGGGCTGTGCCCCCGCCCCCGCCCCACACGCCCGGCCCCGCCCGCGGCGGTTCCTGCGCGGCCGCAGCCCCGGCTCCGCGCCCCGTGTCTCCC